TCCATTCTTCAGTTGAGGGGCATCTGAGCTGTTTGTTTCCAGGTTCTGGCTATTACAAATAAAGCTGCTACAAACATGGTTGAGCAAATGTCCTTATTGTGTACTTGAGCCTCTTTTGGATATATGCCTAGGAGTGGTATGGCTGGATCTTGAGGAAGCGCTATTCCTAGTTGTCGAAGAAATATATTTTATGTCAGCATCTTTCCTTTCACATTCTTTCAGTGTAGGTCTGGAGTGAGCGGGGGCTCTCATTTCATTTACAGAGTGGTATTTTGCTTTGCTGGTGAATCTTGATTTCCTATTCATGTTTAGGACTCTCAGAGACTTTTAGCTCCATGAAATGGTGGGTATTATTGACACAGTCTGTGAATTTCATTGTTGGGCAATTGGGAGTTCATTTATCTTTTTTTTTTCTCCCATCTACTGTAGTATCCACAGGGCTATGTTTCTGGATCAGGTTTTGTTTTTGTTGTTTGTTTTTCCCAAGTAGAGATGCAGAGTCATATTGCTTTGCATACACTGTTTTAATTTCATTGCCAGACTTATCCAAGTGTTTCATGGCTGGTTCCTGAGAAACCGTGCAAAGTAAATCACTTCTCACGGGTCATCTTCACCTGCAGCAGAAACCACCTCACAGGAGTAGATGGCGGCTATTTTCCCTCTGACTAATTACTTAAATAAGATTTGAGGAACAGAAATTTCTTTCAGCTTCATAAAAATTAACTTTCTGCTTTTTCTTGTCCTCATTTGAGTCTCTTTAAAGTGACTAAGTAATCTATTCCTGGACATTTTGTACTTCATAGTGAGATTAGTTTTGCTTGAGTTGATGGTGTCTCATGCAGCCTCTGAATTTTCTTTTCTTTTTTTTCTTTTCTTTTCTTTTTAAATATACTTTAAGAGCTGGCAGCAGACTCCATGTCATAGACAACCCCTGCTCCCTTTACTAGGAAACCAACATGGAAACTGAGCTGCCTAAATGCTACATCTGAGCATGGCCCTTGGTTGGTGCATCATCCTCCACAGGTTCTCTGGGCCCAGCTTTATTGGCTTTGTTGGTCACCTTGTGCAGTTTGTGTAACCTCTGGGTCCTTCTATTCCACCCCCACCCCCCACTCTTCCATAAGACTCCATATGCTCTGCTCAAAGTTTGGCTGTGAGTCTTAGCATCTGCTTTGATCCCTTGCTGAAGGGAGTCTTTCAGAGGACCTCTATAGTGGGCTCCCATCCTGCTCCCTCTCTTCAATGGCTTCTGGTGTCTATTCTGTTTGCCCTTCTTAATAAGAACTAAGCATCCTCCCTAGAGTCCTCCATGTTATTTAGCTTCTTTAGATCTGTGGATTGTAGTATGGTTATCCTGCATTATATGTCTAATATCCACTTATAAGTGAGTATATACCATGCCTGTCGTTCTGTTTCTGGGTTACCTCACTCAGGATGATCTTTTCTAGTTCTATCCATTTGCCTGCAAATTTCATGACTTCCTTGTTTTTAATAGCTGAGTAGTATTCCATTGTGTAAATGTACCACGATTTCTTTATCCATTACTCAGTTGGGGGACATCTAGGTTGTTTCCAGATTCTGGCTATTATGAATAAAGCTGCTATGAACATAATTGAGCAAGTGTTCTTGTTGTATGGTGGAGCATCTTTCGGGTGTTGGTATAATGTTCTTTTGGTATGTATACACCTTACCCTTGTTCATTCAAATGCTGATTTCTCTCCCCCGCTCTCCAGTTTCAATCCGGACATTGCATTGTGATACTTATTCTAAGCATCACCTGTCTCAACTTTGTGTAAACATGCCAAAATAAAACAACCAGCCACAATGTTGAGCAATGGAAAAGAAGTAAGAAGAGAGGGAGGAGCCAGAGGAGAGGAAGGTGTGGGAGGCAGAGGAGGGAGAAGGTCAGGAGAGAGCTGAGAGAGCAAGGCTGGAGGAGAGGTCTTGGAACGACGTGGAAAATGAACCAGACCTAAGATTTCACTAAAAGCAAGTACAATGTGGGAAATCTAAATGTTAGGAAACTATGAGGGTTTGGAGGTTTAGGATGGAGTAACTATTGCCCAGCATTGTGTTCTAGGTTAATTAAATAAATCCCAGTCTCTGTGTGGTGATTTACTCATACAGCTGTTTAGGATTAACAGCAGCTTTAATAGAAGATAAACTAATAGTAAATATTAATAATCACTTACAACATTTGGGTTTATGCTCAGGAGTGGTATTGCTAGGTCTTTAGGTAGGGCTATTCCTGATTTTCTGAGAAAGCGCCAGATTAATTTCCAAAGTGGTTGTACAAGTTTGCACTGCCACCACAATGGAGGAGTGTTCCGTTTTCTCCACAGCCTCACCAGCATGTGCTGTGACTTGTTTTTGATCTTAGCTATTTTGATTGGTGTAAGATGGAATTTCAGAATAGTTTTGATTTGCATTTCCCTAATGACTAAGGACATTGTGTATTTCTTTAAGTGTTTCTTGGCTATTTGATATTCCTCTGTTGAGAATTCTCTGTTTAGCACTGTACCCCATTTTTTAATTGGGTTACTGGGTTTGTTGGTGTTTAATTTCTTGAGTTCTTTATATATTTTGTATATTATCCCTCTATTGGATATAGGGTTGTTGAAGATCTTTCCCCAATCTGTAAGCTGTTGTTTTGTTCTGATGACAGTGTCCTTTGCTTTACAGAAGGTTTTCGGTTTCATGGAGGTCCCGTTCATTAATTGTTGATCTCAGAGCCTGAGCTGTTGGTGTTCTATTCAGGAAGTTGTCTCCTGTGCCAAAAGTTCAAGGCTCTTCCCCATTTTTTCTTTTAACAGGGTTAGTGTGTCTGGTTTTATGTTGAGGTATTTGATCCACTTGGACTTGAGTTTTGTGCAGGGTGATAAATATGGATCTATTTGCATTTTTCTACATGCAGATTTCCAATTAGACCAGCACCATTTGTTGAAGATGCTATCATCTTTTCATTGTATGGTTTTGGTTTCTTTGTCAAAAATAATATATCCATAGGTGTGTGGGTTTATTTCTCAGTCTTGGATTTGATTCCATTGGTCCCCCAGTCCATTTCTATGCCAGTACCATTCCGTTTTTATAACTGTTGCTCTAATAGTACAGTTTGAGATCGGGGTAGTGATACCTCCAGAAGATCGTTTATTGTATAGGATTGTTTTAGCTATTCTGGTTTCTTTTTTTTTTTTTTTCCATATGAAGCGGAGAATTTTTCTTTTAAGGTTTGTTAAGAATTGTGTTGGCATTTTGATGGGAACTGCATTGAATCTGTAGACAACTTTTGGTAGGAGGCCATTTTTCACTATCTTTCCATCTTTTGATATCTTCTTCAATTTCTTTCTACAGAGACTTGAAGTTTTTTTCATAGAACTCTTTCACTTGGTTGGTTAAAAATACACCAAGATACTTTATGTTTTTTGTAGCTATTGTGAAGGGTGTTGTTTCTCTAATTTCTTTTACAGACTGTTTGTCTTTTGTATACAGGACTACTTTTTTCTCTTTTTTTTTAAATTACCATTTATTACAATTTATTTAACTGTATCCTGGCTTCAGCCCCCTCCTTTGTCTCATCCCAATCCCACTTTCCCTCCCTCTCCACCTATGCCCTTCCCCTAGTCCACTGATAGGGGAGGTCCTTCTCCCCTTCTATTTGACCCTAGCCTATCAGGTCTTATCAGGACTGCTTGCATTCTCTTCCTCTGTGGCCTGGCAAGGCTGCACCCCCCCAGAGGAGGGTGATCAGAGAGCCTGTCACTGAGTTCATGCCAGAGAAAGCCCTTGCTCCCCTTACTAGGGAACCCCCTTAGATACTGAATCTATGGGCTACATCTGAGCCGGGGTTTTAGGTCCTCTCTATGCATTGTCCTTGATTGGGGTAGCAGTCTCTGCAGGACTACTTTTTTTTTTTTTTTTGAGTTAATTTTGTATGCAGCCACTTTGCTGAAGGTGTTTGTCAGCTGTAGGAGTTCTTGGTAGAATTTTTGGGGTCACTCATGTATACTATCATGTCATCTATGAATAGTGATACTTTAACTTCCTCCTTTTCAATTTGTATCACCTTGATCTTCTTTAGTTGTCTTATTGCTCTAGCTAGGGCTTCCAATACTATGCTGAAGAGATACGGAGAGAGTCCTTGTCCCTGATTTCAGTGACATTGATTTGTTGCTCTCTGTTTAGTTTGTTCTTGGCTATAAGCTTGTTGTAAATTGCCTTTATTATGTTTAGGTATGTGCCTTGTATCCCTGATCTCTCCAAGACTTTTAACATGAATGGATGTTGGATTTTGTCAAATGCTTTTTTGGCATCTAAGGAGATGATCATGGCTTTTTGTTTGGTTTTTCTTTCAGTTTGTTTCTGTGGTGGATTACATCAATGGATTTCCATATATTGAACCACTCCTGCATGCCTAGGATGAGGGTTACCTGGTAATGGTGGATGATATCTTTGATGTGTTCTTGGATTTGGTTTGCGAGTATTTTATTGAGTATTTTTGTGTCAATGTTCATAAAGGAAACTGGTCTAAAATTCTATTTTTTTTTTGTTGGGTCTTTGTGTAGATTAGGTATTAAGGTAACTATGGCCTCATAGAATGAATTTGGTAATGTTCCTTCTGTTTCTATTTCGTGGAATAGTTTGAAGAGTATTGGCATTAGTTCTCTGAAGTTCTGGCAGAATTCTTCGATGAAACCATTTGGCCCTGGGATTTTTTTTTGGGGGGGGGATGGGTGACTTTTGATGATTGCTTCTATTTCCTTGGGGAAATAGGACAATTTAATCTATTTTTTTTTAATGCTCCAAATGTGATGGGTTTATTTTACTCTGATGCAAAACCAAAGATTTCACTACAGCAGAGACTGCTACAACAAAAGGTCGTGGAAAAGTGGAGTGGGACATGCAGGACACGATGTACAAACCGGGAGTCAGGACACTATGTTGTTGCTGAGGAACATATTTAAATTAACTCTGCAGAACTCAACTGAAATGTGGCACAAACATGAAAATTTCCAGGCATGCCTTCAAGGGCCTCCCATAGGATGGATTTGTAATCTCTAGACTTCAGTGTAGGAAGGATTACAATTCTTTGGAAGAATATAAAGTTCACACTTTTGAAATTTCACAGAATTTAAAGGCCAAAACATAGTGGGTTTATTTCTCTTCATTTCCAGGGACAAATGATGCGCTACTCAAATCACATTAAGCTTCCAGTTCAAATCCCAATCCCACCTTGTGACCTCCTGCATTGAAGTTCTTTCCATCTATTAAAGCTGACAGAGTCAATTTGACTCCTGCTCGGAGGGTCTGTGTATAACCGAGTCCAATTAAACTGGCATTGTTTACTTTGGCAGACAGAGAAGTTCTACAATCCAGCTTATATTTAGCAGCGATGCCAAAGCGAGTGTTGTTGCTGCCAGCTGTCCATGCCAGGTTTATTGATGTCTCAACCTTGTCATTAACTTTCTGGTAGATAGAGCCTCCAAAATCAGTACCGTCATTCACATGGGTATGCAGCTGGAAGTCTGCAGCCTTGTAGCCAAGGGCAAAGTTGTTCTGGGACAGTTTGGACTTGGCTGTGTCAAAGCTCATCTGATATCCGGCCAGCCAGCCTTCAAAGGCCAGCACAGCCCAGCCATAGATGGTAGGGCCAGAGAAATCTATGTCCACACTACTGCCCAGGCTGAAGCAATCCCGTTTATAGGACGCCTTTAACTTCCCACTCTTCTTTCCTGTGTTTGGTACAAATATGGTATCAAGAGTCAGTTTCAACCCGTCAGCCAACTTATTCTCCCACGAGATCTCTGTCCCAAGAGTATTGTCTGTATTCCATTTTTGGGTGAAGGTGAGCCCATAGTTACAGATCTTGTATTTGGTCTCTAGGTTGCCTGATGCTTTCCCTGTGTCAGTATAAGCATGACCTGAAGTAGAAAATTCCACTCCACTACAAGACTTGGTTCTCAGATCTATTTTGACCATGCCAAACCCATACCCTTTGTTAAAGACATCCTTGGCAGCCTTTCCTAGGTCGCAGTAAGTTGGTGTGTTACACATATCTACAACCCGAGGGTGGGCCCGTCCCGCTCCACCAAGGCAACGCTGAAGGTCTTCTTGAACCAACGCCGTCTGCGCCTGCGCGACCCAATTTAATCTATTTACCTAATCTTGATTCAACTGTATAAGTGGAATTTATTAAGAAAATTGTCCATTTCATTTAGATTTTCAAATTTTGTGGTGTATAGGCTTTTGAAGTAATACCTAATGATTTTTTGGATTTTCTCAATGTCTGTTATGTCCCCCTTTTCATTTCTGATGTTGTTAATTTGTAGACTGTCTTTTTGCCTTTGGTTAGTTTGGCTAAGGATTTGTATACTTGTTGATTTTCTCAAAGAACCAGTTCTTGGTTTTGTTGATTCTTTTAATTGTTCTCTTTGTTTCTAATTTATTGATTTTAGCCCTGAGTTTGATTATTTCCAGCCATCTACTCCTCTTGAATATATCTGCTTCTTTTTTCCCTAGGGCTTTCAGGTGTGCCATTAAGTTGCTTGTATAAGATGTCTCCTATTTCTTTTGGAAGGTACTTAGTGCTATGAACTTTCCTCTGAGCACTGCTTTCATTGTGTCCCATAGGCTTGGGTATGTTGTGCCTTCATTTTCATTGAATTCTAGGAAGTCTTTAATTTATTTCTTTATTTCTTCCCTGACCCAGTTGTCGGTGAGTAGAGAGTTGTTCAGTTTCCATGTGTGTGTAGGCTTTTTGCTATTTCTGTTGTTGTTGAAGTCTAGCTTTAGTCCATGGTGGTCTGATAAGATACATGGGATTATTTCAATCTTCTTGTATCTGCTTTGTGACCAACCTGAAGATCAGTTTTGGAGAAGGTTCCATGAGGTGCTAAGAAAGTACATTCTTCTGTGTTTGGGTAAAAAGTTCTGTAGATGTCTGTTACGTCCATTTGATTCATAAACATCTGTTAGTGTCATTATTTCTCTGTTCAATTTCTGTTTCATTGACCTGTTCTTTGTGAGAGTGGGGTGTTGAAGTCTCCCACTCTTAATGTGTAGGGATCTATTTGTGGTTCATGCTTCATTAATGTTTCTTTTACAAATGTGGGTGCCGTTGTGTTTGAGGCATAGATGTTCAGAATTGATATGTCATATTGGTGGACTTTTCCTTTGATGAATATGAAGTGTCCTTCCTCATCTATTTTGATTAATTTTGGTTGAATGTCTATTTTATTAGATATTAGAATAGCTATTCCAGCTTGCTTCTTGGGCCCATTTGCTTGGAAAACCTTCCAGCCCTTTACTCTAAGGTAATGTCTATATATGTGGCTGAGGTATGTTTTTTTTTATGCAGAAGAATGATGGGTCCTGTTATACCTCTATTCTATTAATCTGTGTTTTTTTTTTATTGGAGAGTTGAGTCCATTGATGCTGAGGGATATTGATGACCAGTGACTGTTAGTTCCTTCTATTTTGATGTTGGTTGTGGTAGTGTGTTTCTGTGCTTGTCTACTTTTGGCTTTGTTGTTGTGAAGTTATTTATATCCTGTAAGGTTGTTTTTTTTTTTTTTTTTTTGCATTTGAAGCAGCCTGCAAAGTAAGTCGTGCTGAACTGGATTTCCCTTTTGCCTCTCATGATTCATTTCTCTTCTGGCAGTGGAGCTTGCCGGGATTCCCCACAATTAATTACCCAGATGTTTGTCATCTGTAAGGTCAGTGCAGGGTCTGTCTGTCATATAGCTGTTATTGTTATTATTATTATTATTTTATTGAAACGCTCTTTCTCATAGGAGACAAGTCTTTAAGACTTAGGAGGGAAAGGAAATTAAGCATAGAGGCTCTTGAAATAAACAGAACTCTTGTGTCAGGAAACTGTAGAGCTAGGTCGACAAGGCTCCTCCCAAGGGTTAAACAAACATTAACCAAGCTAGGGAGAGAAGACTGGCTGAGCCTGGCAGAGCTGCCTGGGAGTTGAGCAGGGGTCTGCAGGGTGCAGCCTTTGTGAGTCCACGTTTTACTATGCTCCTGTATACGTAATTCCTTAGCTATACTACTGTCGCCCAGTAAACTCCAGTAAACTCACTGTCTCTAGACTTGGGCAGAATTGTTTGGTCTGTTGTTAGGGCCTGTCTGAGATGAATAATGTTTCTTCATGACACCCTTAAAAAGTTACAAAACACTGGTTTCATGTTTTCTCAAAACCACGGACAAAAGCTTACTATGTAACTGAGGGTGATCTTGAATCCTTATCCTCTTGCCTCTACTTCCCAAGAGCAGGGACTGTAAATATGCACCATCATGCTCAGCTCTGTCATTTGAATTTAAGCTAACACACAAGCACATGCGCATACAAGTGCCCATATATCACACTGACCTGTTCGATTCTGCTGGGAAGTGAAAATATTCATATAAAGGAATTTTCTGTGAAGTCTATTTAATAATTAATTGCAGATCGTGAGATTTTTACTTATATTGAGAGTTATAGGTAATATGACTTGTCTGTTCCCTAAATGTTCACGTTAGAGATTCAGTCTGAACTGACACTTTTAAGAGGTACCTGGACGCCCAGCTGCACCCTTAATGAAGGGGTCAGGAAAAATTGTCCTGGCAGTATGTTAGCTGTGTAAAAACAGGTTGTTATAAAACAAGTGTGCCACCTCCTTTACTCTTGCACACGCTCGGACTCCACATGAACCTGTTTGCACCTTTGTTTTCCCATCATGCCCAGAACAGCATGAAGTTCTTTCCAGAAGCCAAGATGGTGTAGAGCCCTTATGCTGGACATCTAGCCTCCAGAACTGTGAGCTATGTAGCTACTTTTCCTTATGAATTACTCGGGGTAAGGAATTTTGTTATAACATCAGAAAATAGACTAAAATAATCTGATAGCCAACCTCTTACCATCTCAAAAATAAATTCAGAATAGGTGGAGAAAACTAGACAAAAAGTATGCGAATAAAATGCAGTAGGCAAAAGAATCGTCATGGATTCTTTCATGTTAGTGAAGTGGGTCATAGTCTTCAGTTTGAGCTTTATAATACAGGGCAATACAGGAATACAATTCATTATCTGGGTCATAATGTCAATAAGTGAATCCTCAGATCCTAGTATCTATTAATTCTACCGACTCACTCAATAAATACAGACATGATATTTTGGGGCTGTGTCTCATCTCCTTCTTCTGTCACATCATAAGCAGACCATTGAGACAAAATGGGGCCTTGATGTACCCGAAGAGGGTGAGAACAGTGGTTAGTTATCCTGTGTCTTTATTGCCTGCCTTAGACTAAGGGTAACTCTGAGAACGCCATTAGGAATAAACAGACAGCTTATCCTTTCAGGCCTCAGCCATCTAAAATTAAAAACAAAAGGTAGAGGCTGAGCATGCAGTATGCAGCACCTACAGACAAGGCTGGGCACTTGGGCATGCATGTATAAACCCAGCACTGGGCAGGGCATGGAGTAAGGAGATACAGGCAGACCCAGGGAGCTATAGTAGACAGCCAACCTAGATGAATTGGTGAGCTCCAGGTTCAAGGGGAGACAGTCTCAAAAAACATAAGGTACAGAGCAGCTGCAGAAGGCGTTGGTCTCCAGCCTGCACATACCTACAAATACACTTATGAATGAGCATCCTTCATACACTAACCTACATGAACGCATACCAACAAAAGATGGCTACAGGGCACCAGAGCACAGCACCTGAGCTTGTACTGACACACATATGAATACACACATACACACACACATACACTCATGAAAGATTTTTTTGTGTGTGTGGAATATGTAGGCTTAATTTCTCATAAAAGAGTGATATAGCTGAGAAGATATTGAGCAGTCTTCCACCGGGGGTTCTGAGTTACCCCATCTCCTGCTCTTCTCTCTTCTTTCATCTCTCCTCTTCTTTCTTCTCTTGCCTTCTGCTTTCAGTAACAAAAATGGCTGTCGGTTTCATCCAGATTCTCTGGATGAAGGATTTTCATTAGTAATTATACCTCAAATATACCAATTATACCTCAAATAATTGATATTTTCCGACTTATTATCAGGTGCGTTCTGGATGGCTAAAGTCAGATAAGTGATCTTGGGACATTTGTAGTATCCGTCTGCACTTTCCACAATCTGGCGCTGTTATGTGTCAAAGGGAAAGCTTCCTTGCACAATGTCTCATGAGAAAGAGATTTCAGAAGCATTGCTGGGAAATTAATCTTGTTTTACATAATAGATCAGCTCTGTGAGAGCTGTAGATGAGAAAGGCCAGCTAAACCAGATTGTAGAAATGAGTCATTTAAAGGTGGGAGATGGAGGCATTGAAGACCCAGGGCTGAAATGTCCTATCTGAAACATCACATTTGTGCCTTCAGCAGGAGTTAAGATTACAGTCAACAATTCTTTTACCCTTTTCATATTCCTCGGGTGGAGTGAAAAGAACAGTGTCTTCTTTCTTCTTCTCTGAAACTTGGCACATTGGCTCAAGTTTCATTTAGTAATTTCCCTAAATGTTAAGCCTAAACATTTTTAAATACCTGGGGGTAGCTGGAAATGTCCTAGCAGTAGGTGCTGGCAGGGATAACAGAGGCCATGGTACTTGTTTGGCGTCGATATATCTTAGCTTGAGAAGGGGAGTAATATTCTCAAGCGAACGAGTTCACAGTCAGTTTAAGAGATGTTTTTCTGCAAGCACTGAATGGACCAAGCATGGATGTCGACTGTCTTCTGAAGGAAGTATCAACCACAGCTTCCTCCTCCCAGGTGACTGCAACCCCGAGACTAAGACCCACTATTAAGATTAGCAAACCCACCATCTTCTTCAGCTTTACAGAACAAATGCATTGGGCTTCTGGTGGCTGTGTCTCCACCAGAGTGTGTTGTCCACCTGATGCCAGCTTTTCTGGCCATGTACCTGTCATTTTTTTTCTTTCGCTGTTGCCCATCAGGTCTTTCCCAAAGTTACACAGACCTCATTGTTGATGAATCTAAGGCTTATCTCAGGACATGGCATCCTTTGCATTCAACTTAACAAAGACTAATCTGTGAAGACCATTTGTTCAAGGAGGCAAGACTACTTTAAGTTTTTTACTATTTTTATCCCCCAGTATTGCACATTCAAAACAGAAGCATGAGGAGGCTGG